TATTCTGGGGGGCGTTAGTCCGGTTACTTATTAGTTATTACCTGCACGCATGAGTACAAGAAAAAAGCGAGAGAAGAGCTGTAAGGAAGAATCAGCCCAATCCTTGCAGTACGAGTCACCTGCTCAAAAGGGGGGCTGCTACGGGCAGGAACCGCCCCCAAAAAAAAACCATAGCCTTCCTAGGGGACTTCTGCTGGCCGGGAAGTTTACTGGCAGCACGTAGTCACACAGCAGAAGGGCCTCAGGGAGGACAAGGTGCCGGGGAGTTCCTTTTTTTTTTAGTCAAAAAAAGAAGTGAGAGAAGAGGAGTAACAAAGGATCAGCCCAACCCTTGCAGTACGAGTCACCTGTCACCTGCTCAGGGGGCGGGCTGCAACGAGCTGAAACCCCCCCCCGCAACACACAAAACAGTAGCCTTACTACAGGACTTCTGCCGGGAAGCTTACTGGCAGCACCTAGTCACGCAGCAGAAGGCCTCAGGGAGGACAAGGTGCGGAGAAGTGTTTTGTTTTTTTGAGGCAAAGCCGGTCGTGGCTGGCTAGGAGGGGTGATAGGAGCAAAGAGTTTCAAATTTCAATACGTCAGCAATACATGAGAGTTTCCGGGGCTGTAACCCGGCTTCTGGTAAATGGACTGTTTCTAAGTCCCCCTAGCACAACGCGTACGTCTCTTGTGATCTGTCTGAGCCTCTCTCCCAAGTGTTCATCCCGCAACCCGCAGTCCCGGTGCAATACTACACCGGCCTGTGGACTTCTCCCTGGGGGTGTGCATTGCGGGAAATCATGAAATTGTAAAAAAAGATAAACAATGAAATTGTAATAATGAAACGGTATTCACCAGCTCGCAGTACAGTATCTGTGTCGACCCTCAGAGTTGAACCCGCGACCTGTGTATTGGTAACAGTCGGTAGGTTGTCGTGGGGTCCATACGTAGCAGGGTTTCGATCTGTAGACCTGTCGAGTAGGAGTCCCAGTCAGGTCTAGAAGTCGTAGCTGTAGCTTTCTCGAAGAGTCAAGGTCGTA